GCGACCCGTTGGTGACCGATTCGGGTTGGCGACCGATTCCTGACGACCGGTGACCGATTCCAACTTCTTGGTGACCGACTCCTGGTGTCCGATTCCTGGCGTCCGATTCGTCCACCACACCCGTCACCTGAATTATCGTTGTTGCCTGGAGGGCCGGTCCTGAGAACCGCCCCGCCATCGTCAACTGGCCGGACCAGGACACCCAAACCTTCGCTTCTGACTTCGCTCGAGTTCAGGGGACCTGCGAGAGCTCTTTATGATGATAGATGTGGACGGCAGTGGCACCATCGAACCGCAGGACAGCCCGGAGTAAGGCGCATACGAGCTCTTCTTTTGTGGGGAGGAGGAAACGGCCTTCAGAGATTCACAGGGCATTCTTTGCAAAAAAGTGAATCTCTGAAGGAAAGGTCAAGGGTTTTACCATTCCATGGGACTGCCATATTTGCATACACCAATGGGGGGGTGTTTTCGGTGGGTTGAACACGGGTCTTTCTGCCTGCGGTGCGGAACGGGTTGGATCCATGTGGGTCATGTGCCCTGGTTATGAATAGATTTTTACAATCCAAACACACGTGTGTATGTGTATGTGTGGGGTTATTCATCATCAACAGTCTACATGATTTCCACATTGGGGGGGTGGCTGGCCACCCAACTTTTCCCAACGAAACTCAACTTCGCAGTCTGCAGCTGGTTTAGCGGGGACCCGGTTGAATTGTTTCTCCCGAACTTTTGAGGAGCACGCCAACTGACACAAAGATGCGCAAAAATGTGCAACTTCGTAGGAAGAAGGAAGGAAGATGTGCCCATCCTCATGTAAAGTTCCTGCATTTTTTGGTATCTAGGTTTAGGTGCCCTCGCTCTAACAAACATGGAAGTGGAACCGGGCCCTTTAGAGGACGGTTTTCCTCTATTAGCAGGGGCTTTTCCACTTCCACTTCCAGTTCCGTGAGAAGGGTCTCCGCCAGTCCCCCACATCCCCGTCCACCGATCCGCTGCTCGGTTTCTCCAGGAGTTCATTCGGCCCTTGAGCCGGTGTCCACCGCGAGCGACGGACGTACTTGCGGACGATGGCTCTGTGAAGTGAGAGGGACTGTAGAGAGAAGATGGGTAAGATTGGGTCAGTATGCCAAGACAGAAATGCGCAAGTGAGAGGCATCATGATTAGCTAGCATCTCAATGGTTACCCTCCCAACATACAAGTGGACAATCCCCTCCTTGCAGACAACAATAGTTTTTCTTGGGGCGGAGGGCGGGTTGATGCTCGTCTGCTGATCTTGGGATGCGCATACTTTGTGAAGGGAAGGAGCTCCCTTGCTAGGTGTGACACAAACAAGAACTCTGTGCACATTCATGTGGGGTATACTTGGAGCAGCGGGAGTCTTTGATGGTGAACATGTTCAATTATTCCGGTTCCTCTGCAGACAAACCTTGTCGGGCTGTTTTACCCTCCCTCTAACAATCATGGGGAAGCTAACCGAACCCCTTGAGGAAGGTGGTCTTCCAGGGGGACATGGCCGGGCCAAGCCATCCACTTCCAATGATGGTTTCGGGGAGTGTAGGGCTTTGAATCCCTTGCCCTCCCATCAAACTACTGCACACCCGAGAACTTCCAAGTTTGGGGAGTCCGGGCCATTGCGGAAGATGCTTCTCCCGAAAACCAACGGATTTGGAGCGCCTTTCGTTGGTCGCATCGGGCTGCGTGAAGTTGGGTGCAACAGATCAGCTCTCGTTGGTCCAGGTACAACATGCTTCGTTGCATTCATCAGCAAGAAGAGCTGCAAATGGCCATGGATGCCACCTACATGGAGCTCACCACACGCATGGATGCTGGGCGAAGAACATGCTTCGATCGCTGACACATGGGGGGTTTGATGGGGCCCTTTCAGTCGGTTTCACGACGAAGAGGGCGTCGTTCACGCGAACGAAGAGGACCTGTCTTCGGTGTTTTCGAACACACCCTGCAGGTCAAGGACATCATTTCACTGGGTGTGGTCATGCAAAAACCAGTACTCAATGAGGTCAAGGACCAGGTTTAACTTGGTCCTTGGACTTGTAGGGAAAGATATATATATATATATCTTTTGGCCCGAACATGAGGGACCTACCGGAAGTATCTGGCAGAAAGGAAGGTAACCTCTGTATGTATGTATTTGACAGCATATGCAGCTGTCCTGCAATAGAAACGGGATCCTCCTTTGAGTGCGTACAGTTTACAGGAAACTGCCTCTATCTGAAGGGCCACTCTAACCTAATTGTCAAGAACCATATTTGCGATTCTTCCTTTGGGTAGTGTTTATGGACATATCAGCCGTGTGGGCCTCCCCAAAACTTTTACCACGCGAGGGAATCCCCTGACTCCATCTTCCAGATTAGGTTCTCTTGACCGTGCAGTGGGTGGCAGACAGATCTCTGTCCCAGGAGAAAATCTCTGCAGATGTCAAGCAGGCCTTGGAGCACCTTGGCAACGATGGATGCTTTCGCGCCCTTTGCCTTCGGTCGGACGGACATTGGGACGCACACCAAAGCATCATAAGCCTATTACATGTCCCTTCCGATCAGGACCTCTCGGATTTGGGTCGCTAGCAGATCATCTCTCAAGCCAGTCTTCTTTGGTGATTCTCTTTTTGTCGGGGACCTCATCAGTTGAAGTGTGATGAAGGGTTCCCTGGATCCAGGATCAAAGTGGTTGCTTTGGTCGTCCGTTGGATAGATACGAAAGTGCGAGGGTCTTTTCGAAAAACCTCACAGGTCGCTGGAACTTCTCGCGAATTCGTCTTCAGCCCTCCACCGACCTTTCCAGACCATCCAGTTGGCTCAGAAGTGGACCGTCTTTGGGGCGGGGGCGTGGAAGTGCACGTTCGATCTCCACCGATCAGTTTGACCCTGGAAGGGACGGGGGGCAGGTGGATTGATCTCAGTCCGTCCCCCGAACCACGCAGAGCACGAAGCGATGGGCCCTTTTTGCTCCTGGTGCCCGTGTCGCTTTGACTGCTTGGCAGCACAAAGCATCTAATAGCTGACCCCTCGCTGGTGGTCCACGGCAAGTCGTAAATCTTCTGCAGTCTGCATAGAAAGTGGCGCTCTGCTGTTGCTCATGGATCAGCTTCGTCAACTAATTTCTTCGAAGTCTAACTAATTTCAACACGCCATCAATACAAGACCTGCAATCTGACTTTGACTCAGCCTCGACAGCCAGCGGCACGGACTGCCCACATTCCTGAGCCTCCTGCAAAGCATTGGATTGACCTGCTGCATTTCCTATCTCTTTCTTTTTCTCCACCGGTGCTGCTGCTTGACTTGACTCTTCAGCCTTGACAGCTTGCGGCAAAGCATTGGACTGCTTTGCTGCATTTCCTATCTCTTTCTCAATCTCCACCGGTGCTGCTGAATGACTTGACTTTTCAGCCTCGACAGCTTGCGGCAAAGCATTGGACTGCTTTGCTGCATTTCCTATCTCTTTCTTTTTCTCCGGCGGTGCTGCTGCTTTGGCCTCTAAAGAAGTCGACGTCGACATGGATTGCTCCTCCTTCACCTCCTTCTCTTCCAACTCATCAAAATCGAACATGTTTCCTATAAAAGGACTCTCTTGGCAATCTTTGCGCCGGAACGTTTGAGCCTCAATTTGCCTTGACTCACCACCGATGCTTTCAGAAACAGACATGAATACGACCGGGTGTATCTCCAAAACGAGCTGTCCTCGAAACCTTCAAAGGAAAGAACTACAGTATTTGATCTGAGGGTCTTTTGTGCCTCTACAATTCCAACTTGGATTCGGCTTTCCCCCTACCTGTCTGCAAGTCTACAAGTTTGGGGCCCCTTCATTCCATCCGACTCCTGGCGCTGAACTACCGACGACACCGCGACCGCTGCGGTCGGACCGTTCGGTTGGCTCCTTGAAGCAGCCAACCGAAGCTTAATTCGCCCGAGCCATCCTTGTCGATCTCGTTAAAGATCTTTTGCAAGTACTTCCTTTCGATGGGCCGAACGGAGGGTGAGCGAGAAGACGAGAGAAGAAACAGAGGAAATCAATGGGTTTAGGATTTAGGGTGATCAACCAGATCATCCCATGCTTTTGATTCCACTGCCTGTTTTGATCCATGAATGCTGAGACTTCGGTTCAGTGTGGACGCCTCAGTCCGATCGGGAGGGTTCGGATTCCATGGACCGGGAAAAACCGATCATGGGGCGATTGGAGGTCTCCCGGATCCAAAATACACACCCATAAAGTATCTATTGGTTGTTCAAAAATGGGAAACGTTTACCCCCTGTTTACTGGCAATGAGACAGAGATGTCTTTCTTTTGAGCCCTTCACATCTGATTCTGCAAAATCACTTAAGATCCATGGCTGTAGGTCCAAGAAAAATGTACATGTAAATATTAAGCAGAGTCCTCTCACAAAACTCACGCCCAATCCTCCAACCTCTCAGGAACTCGTTCCCAAAAAACCTCTGAATCCTCTGGAGTCACAGGTGGTCGTGCTTTCACGGGACTCACCTGTGACTCTCTAGCTCCATGCACTCGTGCGAAACGATGACCAACCCGAACGGAGGAAACGACGAACCCACCCGTTGCGCCCGGGTTTGGTTGGGACGGAGGCCCTGCTTGCTGGTAGAGGGACGGAGTTCGGAGGACTTCGGTTTTTTTGTGTATCATCTTTGAAAACAGGGGCTGCTTCGGGATTTCGGATCATTCAATCAATGGGCCAAGAATTTGATCGGAGGAAGCCTGGAATCCAAAGGCATGCTCAAAGTGTAGATAGACAGAGCCCGTGAAATTGAAGTAGTTGGAAGAGCTGATATGACCCTGGGAGCCGATGTTTTGAACAAATCAAACTGAACCTGGGTTGCGTGTCTATTCTCCCAAAAAGACACATTAATCTATAAAGAGTAAAAGCACCACAGAAATAGACACATACAAACACCTGATCCTTTCTCGATTTTCCCCGGATCCTTTCTTGGACCCGGATCCTTCACCGATGCGTCTGCGTGGTGTGACAAACATGACAAACCTGGGTTCTGATCGCTCTCTTGGTCGCGTTCCATCTCCTGCCAGGTTCACAATGTCGTGTTCTCTAGCATCTGCGAAGGTGTCCACCTCTGCACATCAACGAACATGACTCAGAGCACCAATCAAACAATCAAGAAAAATGGTGGGCCGATGATTGACTGATATTGAACCTTCAATGATTGCTGGGGCATTGCGCAACACTTCTACAGACACTGCAAAACAAGGTCTTCCAGAACCAAGGCATGCAGGGTAGGCAGAAGCACCAAGAATCGGCACATCCAAAAAAGATTGGCTGAATGTTCAGCGAAGTTTCGACCACTGACACGATCAGGTTCAAAACTCCAAAGACGATGGTCAGGTACGAGCCCACGAAGATAAAAGCTGTATCCCCTGGTTGGTGACGCTCCGTCCCTCCAAACCTAAGATTGGTGAGAAACCCCAAACCAGATCCTGTCGCCCCTGGGACGGTGTGTTTCGGGGGGATTTGTTTGAAAATCCAGCGACAACGTGGACGTTGGGGCGACAATGGTAGTGAACCCCCCGTGTCTTCCATCAACCGTGACAAGAGTAAACCACCCTGGTTTCCAGGAACACTGGAACGTCTTTGTGGATTGCTTTTCGAAGGAAACGGCATGACCCTAGGTGTTCAGAATGCCTTCAAATCCCCAACTGTAAAACTGACTGGCATGGCGATTCGTAGGGATGATCAGATGATCTCCCCCCGCTTTCTGATACGCAAAACGGCCCCGAACTCATCATCCCGGGCCACCTGAGCAGGCTGAGGCTGCTGATGCTCCCATGGGGCATCACGAGGTCCGAGCCCAGCTCCCCGTAACCGCAGACAATGAGGAACAAGTCCAGTTTCACCGTCTGTTCGCGCAGCACCGAAACCTGAGCGCCCCACGGTCGGCTTTGGTCGGGTACTGTTCGGTCTGAGGAGACCCGATGGATTCCTGGTGCACCGGAAGAGGCTGTTCTTGCCCAAGAACCACTGATGTACTAAGGATTCTACACTACAAAACCAGGTCAAACATTTTTTGTGTTTTCTTGGAAGGCTAGGTAGAGCTTGTGACCGTGTTCTTCATCCAATGAATTACACTACACCATCAAAGACCAGGCGGGATGCTTGGGAGTCTTTTGCTGCTATATATCCACCACTCTCACTTCTTTGGTAAGGTTCACCACAAATCTCACATATTGTTTAAGTCAAAAACACTGGAAACATCGTCTACGTCACAGATCCACCCACCCAATTGTCTTCGACTCGGCCGAAAAGCCCCTCGGATGCAAAGGTTCAAGGTCAGTTCGATGCTATAAATGGCCAAGCACAGGTAGGAGATCGTTAGGACAGCCGAGGGCGTCTCCAGCTCCACCGCCCGGTAGTCGATATCGTAGCAAATACCTCACAGTGTCTTCGACTCCGACGAGGCGTCGGTTTCCTCTTGTATGAAGATCCTTTTTTGGCAAGGTACCCAATCAGAACCATTTGAAAAGCTACAGCCAGGTCAACCAAAATCCCTGTGCCAGGAGCAACACCCAAACAATGAAAAAGTAAAAACTGTCGTAAGATGTCATAAGAAGGAAACAATACAAATAGGCTATAGTCGATACTACTTTTCTTTGGGCCGCCAGCTAGTCTAAAGTACTGACAAAGGCCAACGACTGAAAGGGCAATCCGATGCATGCTCCAGTCCAAGCTGCAGAAACTGTCGACCATAATCACCAACGCCATGAAGTGGCTGAAATGGTGGCCTTGGAAAAGTCTGTGAGGGCATGACGGTAAGGGCAACCACAAACCAAACAAAGGAGGACAGAATAACCACTGTGAACCTGCTGGGCGGAAGGATAATTTCTACCAAGTTTGATTAAGATGCGCTGATGGAAAATCGGCTATACAGGCAGAGCCTCACAATATGTAGTGTGTAGAAACTACATATATATATATATATATGTATATTACTTTTATATGTTTATTTTTTTATGTGAGCTATTGCAAAACTATACGATGTATATGGCACGCTCCCCGCTCTACTCATTTGATGGCTGTCCTTGTTTTTGCTACCGGCGTCATTGGTGACCCCTGCGTTTCGGAGCACTTTTGCTGTCTCCAAGGACTTTTTGACAGTGGGGGTGGGGAGGGGCTAACTACGTTGTGTTCTTGTTGTTTCACGACAGTTGAGCGGTTACGTCGTGGTATGGTTGTTGCCCAGAACATGGACCATGGTGGTTTTGTTGGATCGGACTTGCACCGTTGCCTTTGACGGGTTCCCTGCGTCGGCTTCGGTTGTCTTTTGGTGGTCAACATGGTTCTTTTTGTTTGTTACATGAAACCGCGTCGCTGAGCTGTTTGGGTTTCAGGATGCGCGAGCTCACAGCTCGTGAGGTGTTGTCGTTGTGTGTGGTGGTTCTGTTGCAGTTGGTTAGGGTACCTTGTCCGCATCCTCTGTTGAATCTGTGGTTTGAAGTGGACATTGATTATGTGGATTCTTTGATTTCTCTAGCAACTAGACACACGGGTCTGGGGTCACTTGAAGTCATACGTCCCCAACAGTATCCATGCCAAATGCTCCACTGGACTAAACCCGCTCTTGATGAAGTACCCTTGGAGCTACCAGTTTCGAAGAAACAGTGGCATGAACCTCTGGAAAAAAGTCAAGAAAACATGAATGAAACACAAAACCCTGTGTTTTCCCAGAGGTTCCACGCATGATGGAAACTGCTAAAAACTCCAGGGTCGTTAACAATGCCGGCACCTTGTTTTTGCAAGATGTGCGCCTGTTTCCTCATATGTTGGACAACTGGTGTAATGTAGGGCTTGACCACCGTCACCACGATCTCCACCTTCATCACCACCATCATCTCTGGACCCCAATGCGTCTAGACTTTCTGCTGCTACACCTCTGGACCTCCCACACACTGTTTGGGGTCTCTTGCCGGGATATAGTTAATTAGCTCTGGTCTTGGCACCAAGCTGGCCTTCAGGCACAACGAAATTTTTATCACTGTCTTGCCCGGATGCAAAAATCCTATGTTGGGCTCTTTTGGAGCTTTGGATAATTGGTTCAGCTATAGTCTTGACACTGTGGTAGACCATGGGAGCACAATCCCTCTGCATCAGCTGATCGTCAATCTCTGTCTAAATCAATGCTTTTTGAAGGAGTGGGGGGGTTAGGCTGGAGTCTTGACATGTGAAATGCATTTTAACATGCACGCTTTCACCATGGTCTTGCCATACAAAATTGCCGGTATACATGCCCCAAACAGAAACTCTTTTTAAAACTGACTAGATGTATGTATATTTCTTCCCTTGAGTTGTCATGACTGCACACTTACACAGCGAGCACTCTTTTCCAAGCGGGGCACAGCGTCGAGATCCCCCACACTGGTGAAACCGAAGGCATGTGTGGAGGCACTGGCCGAATATTCTGCTGATTTGGCTTGATGCGTGGAAAGAAGCGTGGCGTCGCCCGACGACGTTGCATTGGAGGCAGATGGGCCAAGGGAGGCATGCCTGGATGAACGAAAAAGTGCCTTTCGGGATGAGGTGGGTGGGAGAGAAAGGCACCTCGATTAAGAAGGCGCCCCTCCTGCGGGAGCCAACTCTGCGGACAGAAAGCGCTCTCTTCGTCCCTTGAGTTTGCCAGTTCTTCTGCAAAATCTTCCAAGCACTTTCTCAAGAAAGCCCGTCTGGCAGATCTTCCCATCAACTGGTTCTCTGCAAATTGCATACGGCCCAAATAGCATACGGCCTCTGAGGCGCTGCGACTCAGAGATGCTAAGGTTGCCACTCTTCAAGACTGAGGTGGTGAGACTCGACAGCTCTACCTTTCGGTCCGGTGTGTTTTCGAACACCTCTTTGCGACA